TCCTATACTCTCATCACTCACATCATTTCTCATCTCTCATGTGAGTTTCCCATGTATGATATAGGTCCTATTTCTTTTTTCCTTGGCATTGTTGTCTCTCGATCAGTCAACGACCTGTTTTTGTCCTACACTTCCTTTGCTAAGAAAATTCTTGCTCGTGCTGACATGTCCTCTTACAATTCATGTAGTACCCCTTCTGACACTAAATCTAAACTTTCTCCTGAAGGTCCTCCTGTTTTTGACCTTACTCTCTATTAGAGTTTTGTTGGTTCTTTGCCATATCTTACTTTCAATCGTCTTGATATTACAGATGTTGTTTTACAAATTTGTCTTTTCATGCATGATCTGTGTGAACTTCATCTTCTAGCTCTTAAACGAATTCCCCATTACTTACAAGGTACCCTCTCTCATGGTCTATCTATTAAACCTTCCTCCATTGATCGCTTGGTCTCTTATATTGATATGGATTGAGACGAATGTTCTCACACCCGTCACTCTACATCCGGGTTATGTGCTTATCTTGGCACTAATCTTGGTTGATATTCCTCTAAGCGTCAACATGTTGTTTCTCGTTCCTCAGATGAGGTTGAGTACCGTGGGGTGGCCAATGTCGTGGCTGAAGGTGTTTGACTTTGCAATCTTCTTCTCGAGTTCTTGTCTTTTAACTAAAGAAATGGTTGTGTCGATAATGTGAATGCCATGTATTTATCCTCTAACCATGTACAACACCACTAGACCAAACACATAGATATAGATTTACATTTTGTAAGGGAATGTGTTGCCATTAGACATGTGCATGTCTTGCATGTACCGTCAGCTCACCAATTTGTAGATATATTTACTAAGGGTCTTCTTACTTAGTTATTTATGGACTTTCAGAACAATTTAAATAGTTGTAAACCCCATGCTCAATGGGGGTGTGTTAGTTTATACATAGTTTTATACATTTTGTATAGTATAGGGGCCCTATCGTAACTTTGCTTTGTATAAATATAGTCTGCAATATAAGCCTCTAGTTAGTGAGGCTTTTCCCCACAATTAACAATGTACATAACTCACACTACAAGAAATCCAATTAATACCGGTGACGGTAATACCGGCAAAATAGGCAACTGAAGTTCCTCTGCCAACTGGTAGAGTCAATGATGTTTCTGATTGCGAGACTGATTATGATGAGAACGATTTTGATTATGATACCGAAGAAGACACTGAAGGATATGAGGAAGATTCTGATTAAAATAATTCTTATGTAATGGGTATTTGTAATATAAACTTTATTTGGATTCCTAGTTTAAATAGAAAAGTTTTTTCCTATGTAATGTGTATTTGTTATAGACATTGTATCTGTATATCTTATAATTTTTCAGGAAATGATGTCGATATGGCTTTGTTTTTGTACACCATGGTTGATGTTATGGGCCATGGACATAGGGGTGTGAGGTCCAACCTTTTCCAGGTGGTAGAGGTGCTGGTCATCATGAGTAGGACCGTAAGTCTTATTATGAATTTTTATTTACTATATTTATTTAGTTATTATAAATTAGATACCGTTTCTAATAATTTTTAAATATATTTGTAGTTGAGCAACGTAGGAAAGTCCGAGGAAAGGCCAACCATATTAAGCTTTAAAGAGCGCTCTTACAGAATAAGGGCAAAACGATTTACATGGAGTATGATAGGGATATGACATATGATCCCGTAGGAGAGCCGAAAGACATGTTTGCACATGAAGTTGGGAAAGTAATGTGGCAGTTGCTCCCTTTTGATAAATGGACATGGAAAAGAGTTTCCCCTACGATAAAGGATACAGTAAAACAAGATTTAGGGGTAAATTATTTATATAAAAATATTTTATATGGTTAATTATGACTGGTTTTTACTTGGTTAACTTTTTTTGTAGACAATGTTTGATTTGGATCGTAAGTCCCGGGATCCAGATGCTGCTATGTTGTCAGAGGGTTTTGAAGCGGCTTTGTTAAAAAGTTATTGAGAGCGTAAGCTGATGCAAAAGAATATTTTTTGCAAGTCGGAGGGTATGAGAATATCCCGAGAGCACTAGCCACCCCCCAGATGATATGGATGTTGATAATTGGAGGAAAACAGTTGCGTATTTTCAAACGGACGAACACGAAGCTGCTCCAGAAAGGAACAAAAAAGTCTGTGAAATGCAAACGACCGTGAATCGTGGGGGGTCGAGCTCGTATAACAGTACTTGCTATAAGAAAGTAACGTACGATACATGTAATTATTTATTTAAAATATAATCTAACTTTTAATGTTAAACATAATCCTAAGAGAGTGGAAATGTTCTGCAATGCTCATACCGATAAGAATGGTGTATTTGTTAGTGTCGAGGCGGAACAACAATACGTAAGTATTTAATTATAAATTTATCATATAACTAAGTGTTTATTTATACTTAATTGTTAATCACTTTTGGAAAATATAGAATCAGTTAGCGGAAGAGCTCTTAGAAAAAACGCAAGGGCCAGAAGGTGAAAGAGAGTTAACATGCGCTCAAGAAAGAGCTACTTTCAAGAAAGTATTAGGAGAACGACGTGGCCATATCAGAGGCATCGGCCGGAAACATTTTGCCATCCTACAGATTTCACATCCATCGCAACCACCACCACAACCATCACATGTAAAACAAAATTATTTAATTTCAATAAATGCATGTTGATTGGGTAATTTTTGTTTGTGGTGATTATTTTCTAAAAGCGTTGGTAATTGGTTTTTTTGTCACAAGTGCAAGAAATAGAAATGTACTTTGGTTTTCTGTCGTAGTTTAAAAATAGTGATGTACTTTGGCATCAATAAATGCATATTGATTTGGTAATTGTGCTTTTGTCCCAAGTGCAATATATAACAATGTATTTTTGGTATTTCTTGTATTTTAAGTGCAAAAAATAACAATGTATTTTGGTATTTCTTGTATTTAAGGTTCTTTAGCACAAATAGGGTATACTATTTAATTTTAAAGTTTCATGTATCTATATATCGATCAATAAATGCATGTTGATTTGGTAATTATGTTTATATTTTAAGTGCAACAAATAGGAATATACTTTGGTTTTTTGTCTCTAGTTTAAAAATAACAATGTACTTTGGCATCATAAAATGCATGTTGATTTGGTAATTGAGTTTTTGTCCCAAGTGCAAGAAATATCAATGTACTTTGGTTATTTGTTTTAGTTTAAAATAGCAATGTAGTTTGGCATCGACAAATGCAGTATGATTTGGTAATTGTGTTATTGTCCCAAGTGCAAGAAATAGCAATTTACTTTTGGTATGTCTTGTATTTAAGTGCAAGAAATAGTAATGTAGTTTGGTAGCTTTTGTTTATGTTTGATAATTTAACTTATAAGTTTATATAAGTTGTTATTTATTATATAGTTGGAAAATCTTCGGCAATGCTCAACGGCCTGACATGTAGGGAGGAGCTTTATGCATTTTTTCAATCGAGGAAAGATCAAGGAGGAAACAATGGGAACGGAGGTGATGGTTCGTTGGATAATTAATTAATGTTTTGTATGTTACACTTGTCATGACACTTTGCTATTTGTTAGAATTGTAAAACTTTGGTTGTTTATTTTGGTATAAAATTAATTATAACAGTATTTGGTATCTAATCGGATGTTATTATTTAATTTTCTTTTTCTGCATTTAATGTTGTTATATATTGATTTTTTTGCGTCCAAAATCGTTGATTAAAAAAATTAAAAAATGAAAAATGTTATTACCGGTGACAGGAAGTATTACCGGCGACAAGAGTATTAGCGGCGACAGAAAGTATTACCGACGACAATAGTATTAGTGGCGACAAATGTCTTTACCGACGAGATTTTGATCAATAGCGACAGTATCAGCGACTTTTTACCAACGACCTATCGCCGCTATTACCTTTACCAGTGTTTTTTTACTCTTTAGCGGCGACTTTTTTGGCTGCTAATTACCTTTTTTCTTGTAGTGTCAATGGTTCTTGGTAGTATTTATTGGGAGTATTTAGCTGAGCAAGGCAAGTAGTATACTGTATACAATACAAATTGCAAGAAAATAGATAGAAGCATGCATGATCCAAGAAATTAAATGTCTACTAGGCTAGACATTATGTATAGCGTGAGCCAAGTAAGTGGATTCATGAGTAATCCGAAATACCTTTATTTCTAAGAACTAAAATGGATCATGTGTTATCTAAAGGGAACTTGTGAATATAGACTATTTTATCAGATAGGTAAAGGGCGTGAACTAATTTGGATAACCAGACAACCAAAATCCTAATTAATATCAATGATAAGTGAAGTAGCTAGCAAAGGTAATGTTTATCAGCCACCAAAATATAATTTATAGATGCAACAGCAACCACTACAAGAAATTTGAGTGTTTACCCATATACTTAAAATAGAATTTTACATACGCAAAACAAAAAATTAATATAGATCACAAGAGCAAGTAGCATGAATCATGACTAAATTAACCACTCAAGTTGGAAGATTTTTTACATACGCAAAACAAGTTAAGTGCTGTTTTGACTTTTGAGTTGAAAGCTGAATATATCGGTTTAAGAAAAGATAATTAATTAGGCATTATATTGTCAATTGTCATGTATTTTGAATAAGCGCGGAAATCAAGACCTTGAATAAGTCTACCAAAAGTTAAGATTTGATTCCATCAATTACTTTTATTCGGAATTTACGTACACACAAATATGGACTTCGTCTGTCTATTTGATGATGATATTGGCCATATTCGTTTTGGCTAAAAATATACAAAGGAGTCGAAAAGCAGTTGTTTCATACGTATAAACTAAATAAAATTCTCTTTTTACAAGATTGAAGTTAAAAATATAGAGCATACACAAAACCACATTTGAAGTATTACGTGTCCGTCGTGAGATCATATCCTCTACTGTTATTCTCCGGTCGATATTAGTCGTGCAAAATGTAAATAATTTCATATGCAATTTTCATAATAAAGAAATACTCAAGAAATTAAATGCATCAAGAATATTTTGACTTACCTGCAAATGACTTTGGATCCTGGTTGTTGAGCCCATTAGGTATTGAACCATCAAGTTTATTGTTTGCAAAGTTCACTATCAGATCTTTCTGCTCAAAATCTGGTATCTCTCCCTCAAACGCGTTGTTCTGAAGCTGCAAATCCACAAGGATTGGCAACTGTGTAAGAGATATTGGAATTTTACCCGTGCCATTATTCCCCATTTCAACTTTCCTCAACTCACTCATTCCCGAAAAAGCGTCACCTCCTATCTCCCCAGAAAACTTGTTATACGAGAGGAAAACCCCATGCAACGCGCCAATTTTACCCACGTTAGGGATTGAGCCCTCAAAGCTATTATTAATGAAACTTAACGTTCGGATACATGTTATCTCAGCCAATGTGTCCGTATCTATCGTCCCTGATAAGCCCATGTTCTCAAGTAATAACCCAAACACATTTCCATTTTTGTCACAGATCACTCCTTTCCAGTTTTCTTTCAAACCATCGCATGGTGGAACAGTATCGTTCCAGTTGCTCAGTTCCCCGACGTTAGAGAGAGAAGATTTAAACTTTATTAGCCTTGCGGGGTCTTTCTCGTCTGCTATAGCTGGTGACCATGTCAGTGAAACGAGAATCGTGAGCAGTGTAAGCCAATACGGTGGCCTGAAACAAGCCATATGTGGCAAATTCAAGAGAAACAACAGGTATTTAGGCTGTTTTAAGTGCTTTCTGGTGAGCGATAAAACTAATACTATGTAGATAGGAGACAAATGAAGAAGAATGGTGGAACGGCTGAAATTATGATGGTTTTATGGGACAATAGACAAGGGTATAAGGTGGTGAATGTCCCAATGTCTACGGGATGATTCTTCTGAGTAGTTTCTTGAAGGCCTGCAACCATTTTTTGCCATATATCTTAATTATGTCATTTAATGGCATCCAAAATACATAGATTAATAGTCCAATGAGATGAAATATCTAAATGAGACTTAATGAAGTAACTTTATCATTGTGAGATGTATTGGCTTTCAATAGATATATATACTAGTTGTGACATCTATGTATTACACGGGTTTATTTAAAAAAATAAACAGATCTAACAATTAAAAAAAATTTAATTTATAAGAAAAAAATAAAATATTAATTATTAAAACTGAAATGCTTATTTATCTATTAAATTTAAACTAATAAATTAAATAAATAAACAACTAAAATAATTAGATTCAATTTAGAAATTTAGAACTTATAAGGAAAGTTGAATTAATGAATTGGATATACATTTATTAATACATTTATAACATTTAAGTATTATATGAAATTTAATAAAATAGAAAAAAAACCATAAAATGAGACACGGATATATTTTAATTTAATTTACCACAAAATGACATGTTCCATAATGCATAAGAGGATGACAAATAGAAAAATTATTTTCATTTATTAAGGAGGATATGAATATAAAACTCAACGACTCTTGAACTATTTAATGGGAAAATGAAACTTTTTAACTGTTATAAGTTGGATTATCTATATCTATATATCTTATAAAAGTAACATTTTTCCTTGAGCATCATGCATTTGAAACTTCCAAGACCATTTTTTCTTGAACCTAATGCATTTGAAACTCCCAAGTCTGTTTAACTTATACAAATTAATTTATGATTAATTGAAATATTATGATTTGTAACTCATAAAACTCTTCAAATCATGCTATTTAATTGATGAGTTAAATGCAATATTTAGTCTATATAAGAAATTTATAGATTACATATTGCATGTATGTCAACACAAATTGATATATTATATTTGTAGGGTTTCGAAGAATTATATGAGTGATTACATGGATGTAAGAAAGCAATTGCAACTTTTCCAAATATAAATTCATTTAACTAAAATTTGGTGCATGTAAAGTTGTAGATATTAAAAAAGGTTCAAACTTAGGTATGTTTGTAAAGGTATACTTGAGATCATTTTTTAAGTTTATGTGTTATGCATCTTTCTATAATCATAGGATGATGAAGTGGGATTGATAATTACTTCTCATGAGCTTTTGGTAAATCAATCATCAAGGTATTTAAAAGTTAGAGCAATTAACTTTGTTAATATGTATATATCTTTATGTTGTCTCTCTCTTTTTTATGTTAAGAAAATATATTTTATGTACAAGAGAACATTATTCAACATGTATTTTATGCTATGTATATACTATGTTAGTTTCTATCGTTTATTTTGAAAATAACATTGATGAAGTTTTTTATAATTGATTTTGATGAAAAAAGTTTACAATTATTATTCCAAATTGTTGGTGATAATGACGAATTAGAACGAATGATTTTTAATACGATATGACTTTATTGTTGAAAACCAATAATTATGTGTGTTATAAAAATGAATTCTTTATGTTCTACCAAAACTTATATGGATGTATCCAATTTTAAATGTTTTTATAGTAATAAAAACAAATTATTTTATTACATTTGTAAATTTCCTTTTTTCCTATTCATTCTTTATCGTAAAGGAAAAGTAAATAAATAAAATATTAATATTTTCATAAAAAAAAATATAGTGATCAAAATATACCTCAAGTATAACACTCATCATTCCCTAACCCACTCTTAGCATATTGTTTTTAAGATTGGTCGCAGTACATAACAATTACTATAGTTTTGAAATTCAAATTACCATTTTATTTTGACCGTTCATTCTTCTCCAATGTTTCATAGTTTTAAGAAAAAAAAATGAAAGTAAAATAAAAAAGTCTAATAGTTTTTTAAATATAATAATGAAAAATTTCAAATAAATAGTTTTTAATTAGTAAAAGTAATAATTGTTTAAAGTAACGTAAAAGTAAAGAATAAATTATATTATATTAATAAATTATTGTTGTTTGAAATAATAATAATAATAATAATAATAATAATAATAATAATAATAATAATATAATATAGGATATAAAAAATATTCAAATAAATTATTTAAAATTAGTTAAAAATAAGGATAGTTTAAAATAATTTTAAATCAAATTTATAAATTAGTTAAAAATAAGTATAGTTTAAAATAATTTTAAATCAAAAACTTTATTCAGTTTGATTCAAACATAATTTTTTATATCTTTCTTATCGTATACTTAAAATTATTATAATATTAGTTACAACTTAGTATGAAAATTATTATTTGAATGATAAATACTTATAATATTGTTTTTATAACATATAATTGTTAATATTTATATTACATTATTGGGCACAAATTAAGAGTTTAAAACTTCCACTACAACTCAATAGTTTTTTTTTTATTTAAATGTGGTTATGATTTCAAATTTAATGTAATTTGCCTTTATATTTTCCACTACATTCAAAAGTTTTTTAAACTTATGGTTATTAGTGTGCAATATTTTTATATTTTCCACTTATTTATTATACATATTGTAGCAGCTTTATTATTAGTAGTATATAAGTAAGTTTGATTAAAAAATCATATGTTTGAAAAAATTTGTGATTCAAAATGAAAGAGTTGAAAAAAAAAAAGTTTTGTCGTATCGATGGTTATTTCAACACAAATTATTTATAACAATGTTTCTATATATCAAATGTATGTTGATTTCTAAATATTCATTTTGAATGATTTATAAGTGTTTAATAAGTTTTGTTTAATGTAAATGTTATAATGTTGTAGTGTTTTCATTTTATTAAAAGTTATAGTATTTTTCATACTATATGTTATTTTTTTTATATACAAACCGACATACGTTTTATATATAATTTCGACAACTTAAAACGTTCTATAAAATCATCAAAAGTTGTAGTATTTATTTTTTCATAATAATTTGGTTTTTTTACCATAGGAATCATATAGGTTTGATATAGAATTTACACAACATAAAACAGTCTATAAAATCATTAATTAATAGGGAAAATAACTAATGATATAAATTTATTAAAATTAATAAAACTAATATGTTAACTATAGAGTTTGTTTTGCTATTGATATTGGTTTTACATGTATAAATACTAAATCAAAATTTCTTAAATGTTATTATTTTAATTAAATAATTATATTCACGCGCAACGCGCGGGGATTCGACTAGTATAATTATATTCCATTGGACTTTATAGGATTTAATGTAAAACAAAGAAAACTTGATGATTTAGAAAACGGATGAATAGGAAGAAAATAACCAAAAACTTTTTATTAATAAGCAAAAAAGTTACTACTTTTCTACAATAAACCAATGACTCTTATTTATACTAATAAAACTAGACTCCTACTCTAACACAAAAACTGCATAAATAAAATGTTTCCTAAAATACCCTTAGAACTAAAAATCATTGTTTGCCTCAAACCGATTATCCCAACAATCACCCCCTTAATCGGTTTGTTCACGCCTATCACTTACAACTGTGTTTCTCCGCCATTAACCACCGACGAACACCACCACATTCACAACTTTTGTTCATCGTCTTCCCGAACCATCCTGACTTTTCCCGGACACCCGACTTCCATCCCGGTCACGTCCAAAGTCCTCCATACCCTTTTGATTATTCACAACACACGTATCATGTAACATGGCATCACGTTGGATATGTTCATTACCATCTAAACTTTTTCCGGATTCACGACCTCTCCCCGGCCAGATCCAAAGCCATCTGATTTGAACTTCCACCGCCATAATGTCCACACCGTGTTGTTTCTCCAATCTCTACCTTTATTTCGATTACCGTTCTTCAAAGAGGCATCTCCACCGACTAAGAAAACAAAGCCACCCGCTTCATCGTTTTCTTTCAATCTGCCAAACGAACTGAATCCAAAGCTACCTGCTTTGACGGATCCTTCCTGCCTGCTTTTCACGCACCTACGTCAGTATCCCCTTATCACGAACAAGTCGATCTTTCTTCCTCGCTAATCATTGTTGTCCGATTAATGTAGACACAACCCTTTGATTTTTTTTTCTGCCTTTTGATTTCAACCGTTCAGCGTCTTATTCTCTTTTTTGACAACCTCGACCTAATCAAATTTGTTCCGAGGGCACTTTTCCATCGAACAACAAGACAAGGTCATGACCACCTTTACCGTCTTCCGTCACCCACAAAACTAACCGAATCAAAGTCATCCGTTTTGACGCCTTCCCGTCCGTTTATTCCGCGTCTATGGTTAATCTATCTCTCACTTAAACCGAACCCGATTCCCATTGCGGCTGCCCCGCAGCGAAATGCTACAGTTTTCTTGAAACCGGCTCTCAAACCGGCCGCCCTATGCCTTCACAAGCCGTAGACTCTGATACCAAGTGTAAAACAAAGAAAACTTGACGCTTAAGAAAACAGATGAACAGGAAGAAAATAACCAAAAACTTTTTATTAATAAGCAAAAAAAAGTTACTACTCTTCTACAATAAACCAATGATCTTTATCTACTCTAATGAATAAAAATCTTTTTGTCACATGTCACACTCTCATTAATTTGGCCACATGTTATTTTGTGGTTATTTTCAATTAATTTTTTTTCCACATGGCATTTTGTGATTTTTTTCATTTTATCAAAATCCACATAATATTTAAATATAATAATTATAATAAATGTAGAAATAAATGCATATCAATTTCATTAACTGACTTTCTTTTTAATTTTAAAATTTGTAAATTAAAACCACATTAGTTTCCTTTGATTATTTATCTAAATT